GGAAATGTACAGCTGAGTATCGTCAGCGTACTGATGAAAATCCACCCCAAAGCCACGGATGATCTCCCCCAGCGGCTTCACATAAATATTGAACAGTAAGGGGGAGAGGACCGACCCTTGTGGCACCCCACAAGTTAGGGGCCTTGGGGCCGACCTCTGCCCCCCTGCCAATACAGACTGCGTGCGGTCGGTGAGGAAGCTTCACAAGCAGTTGGAGTTAAGTTAGTTTCACTTTAGCAGGGATTAACACAACTTTATATATATTCAATACATAACAGGTTTCATATGACTATAATTAATGTAACACTTTCCATAGAGGAAATGCTGCTATAGGAATGCTATTATTATTCTCCATGATTTTTGAAAAAAAATAAATTGAATGTTTCCTCATCATGAGAAGTTGACCATTGCCCCTGGATATTCTTAAAAAGAACATGGGGATGGGAGATAAGAATTTCGTGTTTATTATTTCCTTGCAAACCTTCTTCATCAATATTCCGGAAGTGCTGAAGCTGAGTTTTCCCATTATGTATTTGTTTTTCCCCAGAATGCCAAAAAAGGCTTTTACTACAATAGAATCTGGTTCAGGAAAATAGGAGGTTTCTCTGTGTGGATGCTGCTTCCAGAAGTCCATTCTGGGCCTGGGCAACAAAAAATTAGCTACCGGTTCTGCTGATGTGGTACGAACCGGCTGAATCCCACCATTGGTAATAATTGAACTACCCATCCAGAATACTGAACAACTACCTGATGTGCTAGTTCTGTGATTGCAGGTGTTGGTGTAACTGCTGTTGTTGTACCCATTGTTGTGATTGTGCACCTATTCATGGTGATTGTGTAGAGGAGTGTGATATAGTCATAGTTTGAGGACCTGGTGGTACTTGAGTGATTGCTGATGGGCATGTGTGGGCAAGTGAGGAAGAACAACTGTGAACCACGTATGATAAGAACCAAAATGGGAAATCAAATAACTAAGACTCTTGTGTATCACTCTTTCCTTGAGTGTAATAATATTACAGGAATGTGTGAACACAAACAAGGTATCAGGTATGCAATACTAAAGGAAAAATTGCTTGCTTTGACCCCCAGGGAATTAAATACCAAAAGATTATTAAAATTTGGGCATATAAGTAATAATAAACAGCAGGGCCACTTATTGGGAACCAATCGGACAACTTCAAGGTTTAAAAAGGTACAAATATGTTTTGATGCCTGTAAGGCTATAGAAAAAGGGGTAGGTACAAAATGTGGGTTTCTTAGTTGATTGATACAGTTTTAAAAAGTTATTTTAGTTAACATTTTTCTTTGCAATATAGTTAATTGTCTTATATTTTGCTTTAATTAATCTCTGTGAACTCAATAAATTGTTTACTTCCAAATTTGATTTGAAATACATTCCTTAAACTAAATCAATCGTTATCTAACCCAGGCATGTCCAACTCATGGCCCATAGGCTGCAAGTTGCCTTGATGTGCCAGTAATGCAGCATCACAAGATTGTAAACTTTTAACATTATTATGTGCATACAGTACAGGGGTTCCCAAACGGGGGTGCTCTAATTAATTAATAGGATGTTTAATATTAATCTACAGAATAGCTGTTGCTGCAAAATCACAAGGAATTTGGTACAGTTAAAGTTTTGGGTATCATTAAAGATTAATGGTATTCTAATCTAAAACCTAAAGCTAGGAATCACATGAAAGTATAGATAAATCAGAGAATGGTAACTTATATGATTTTCTTTTTGCTCTTTATAATAAAATATTTTCCCTTGGTCTTTAAAATTAAAACCTTATTTTTTTCATTAACTAGTATAGAAAATAGTTGTAAGAAAAATTATGAAACTGGTGATAAAATGTTCTCTTTGAGAAAACCCAATTTTTAAAAGAACTATATTATGAAAATAACTAACTTTCAGCTCAGAGTAAGATACTTGAATATAGTTTTCTTCTCAAGTGCCTATTTTACTATTTTCTAGATAGATGATAACCAGCCACTAGAGTATTTGTCAGAGCTACGTCCTGTTACCATTGTTTTTGTGAATATGCAGTTTGAAGAAAATGCCAATACGAACCATGTGTGTAAGGCTATCCAAGATGCCAATGCTATGATCGCTGGAACAATATTACCCCTTAGTGGTAACATTAATAAAGTCTTCATGTTTGACAAAGTGAGTCCCCTATAGAGGTATTGTTTCAACAGGTTCTATCATGTTGTATCAACAGAGCAAAAGAATGACTTTTCAATAAAACTACTGATAATATGGAAAGCATGCGAACATAGTAATGTTCATTTCATTAGCTGCTATCATTTCATTAGCTGCTATTCTTGATTTTTATTGTTTCTACTGTTCAACTGTTTCTTTTATGATGTTTTTCAATACATGTATATAGAATAGAATAGAATAGAATAGAATTCTTTATTGGCCAAGTGCAATCGGACACACAAGGAATTTGTCTTCAGTGCCTAGGTTCACAGCAAGAAATAGGTCATATATCATAAATCATTGTTACAATCATTAATCATAAGTTACAAACAATAATTGATAAATCATAAGATACCAATAGGAGAAGATAGTAGGAAAGATGAGAAGATGAGAAAATATGAGAAATGAGACAGTGCTGTGGGAATTAAGTGTTTAGCAGAATGATAGCACGGGGGGGGGGGGGACTATATGTCTGGCTGTTTTGCCATGCAATGCTCTATAACAGCATCCTGAGGGGAGAAGTTGATCATGTCCAGGATGTGAGGAGTTTGTAGATAGGCACCCTTTAATGTTGAGTAGCAGTGGTCTAAAATATTCTTGCCTCTGATAAGAGAGTTGACATGCTGAATGTATCTTTGCAGCTCCTGGCTTAAGTTAGCACTGTTAAAATCTAATAGAATGAGGAGGTAGTCTGGATATCTCTGTTCGGTCCATAGGATTTGATCAGTTAAGGTTTGCAATGCCTTGTTTATGCAAGCTTGGGGTGGTATGCAGACCCCAACTAGGATGAATGAAGAAAACTCTTGGGGGGGGGGATAATAGGATATGCAAGTGATTAATAGAGTCTCTAAGTCCACATCACAAAATTTCTTTACACCATTGGTTGTTAATATAAAAGCAGATACCTCTACTCTTCTTTTTACCGTATATTTCTGCAATTCTATCTGCTCTTGAATCTGAATTGTGGGATTTTCAAGAAGTTATCATTAATTGATGACAATTAATTTAATTAACAATTAATTTACAGTGCTATATTATCATTTTACCTAGACTACTATAGGATAGTGTGCCTTGATCTGAGAAACAGCATGCAACACTAAATAAGTAAATATGTTTTATGAATTACATTCACCTTTTCTTTGAAACTGTCTTCTCTGATATACTATTTTCTTCTTCTCAAAAAGGGCTGCACTTTTCTTTGCATCTTTGGTCTTCCTGGAGATAAACAAGCTGATGAAAGCACAAATGCTCTTGATAGTGCCCATAAAATTCATGCTTTCTGTTCCACAGCACTTATGAAAGTAAAGTAAGTAAATGAGAGTGGGATGTCATCAATATACATCTGATCCCTTGTAGTGCTCAAACCCCAGCTTTCTATATCAAGGAGTGCCATGTCTACATCCAAGTTCTAATTCTGTATTTGTAGAATCATGAAGAGATGTATCAGCTAAGGCTTGGGTTTAAGTTTCAGGGACAATCAGCAATCTAAAGCCCCTTCTACACATAAGCACTCTTTCATTCTATGATCCGTTCTTTGTCCTACATCCACACTATTTGGGGCCTCACTTGAGAAATTGAATCAGTTAATTACAGTACAGGTTTAATTCCTACTCCAGAATAGCACTGTGAATGTATTCTTTAGAGTTGTGGAATAGACAGCTGCCTCATGTTCCCTCCCATTCTGGATATTTTCTCCCTCCTTCCTGCAACAAAGTGTCATGTTGAAAATACCATGGAGGAAGAATGCTGGTGGTGAAGCAACTGGCTGCTTCAAACAGTTTGAGGGGCTGAGCCAGAAGTTGTGTGAAAATGCCCCAAGTGACAGGAGGATTTTAAAATTGTACAGCTTTATCCTTCAAATGAGATTAGGTCCAAATTTTGAAGGCTTTGATACTATCTTTATAGATACACTACATTTTGCTAAAAGTGTTTTAATCCTATATAGGGGTCTTCCTTATGTCTGAGATAAAGTCCTATCCACCATTCCTTGAGACAACAGCAAATTATATCATTGTAGAATTTGCTGCTCCCATTGGGAACCCCTATCCTGCCACAGGTACTCATTGGGGCTCCTCTTGCTGCATCAATTAGTGAAATGTGTCAGACTTTTTTTTATTATTATTAAAAGTTTTATAAAGTTTACAATATAAATCCCCCCCACCCCTACAACCCCCTCCCCCCCACTTCCCAGAGCTGTTCACAGGGTTACAAATAATAATCATAATCTAAATAACATAAACCAGCTAATTATATAACCAAATCTATAACACACTTTAACTCATTTTTAAAATAAATTTAAATAAGTTAAAATTAAAATTAAATACATTATTAAAAGAAGAAAAAACAAACTAGTAAACAACACTACTAATCAAAATTATAATAAAATCATACAAACTATTATAAAATATACATACAAGCACTTAATAAAATAATAACAATAAGAATATTTTAAAATTTTACCCAAAAGCCAAATGGAACTTTTCAGTCCCATATTTTTTTTGAATATAATCTATCCATCTTCTCCATACCGAAATATAACTTACATTTGACTGATCCTTCAAATAAGCAGAAATCTTAGCCATTTCTGCTAAATTTGACACTTTAATTGACCATTCTCCTACAGTGGACAAACCATCCGTCTTCCAATATTGAGCTACCAATAATCTTGCAGCTGTTATAAGATTCAACATCAAATTCATTTCTTTGGCATCCAAATTTCCCATAATACCTAACAAAAATAACTGTGGTGTAAACTTTATCTTCTTCTTAAAGATATTTTGAATATTCCACCAAATCTTGATCCAAAATGCCTTTATATCCCTACACGTCCACCAAATATGGAAGTAGGTTGCATCTAAACTTCCACATCTCCAACATTTGGGCTGTAAGTTAGGATACATGCGTGACAATTTTTGAGGATCCAAATGCCATCTATAAAACATCTTATAAAAATTTTCTCTTAAATTTTGTGCTTGCGTAAATTTTACATTTCTTACCCAAATTGTCTCCCATGTATCCAATGGAATCACTTCTTGAATATTCTGCGCCCACTTTATCATACAATCTCTAACTAACTCCGTTTCAGAATCCAATTCAATCAAAACATTATAAATTCTCTTTATGTGAGCTCCCGATGAGTCTTTAATCTGTTTAATCAAGTTCACATCCTCCAAAGTAATACCGACCTTCTGGTCTAAATTCCACCTCATTAGCAATTGATTATAATAAAACCAAGAATATACAATATTTTCTTGTTTCAAATCTGCTAAGGATTTAATTTGCCAATCCTTTCCTACCAGACTAAGTAATTCCCTATAAGTAATATCCAAATTAACTCCTCTAGATACCCCCTCTATCACCTGTCCTGGAATCGCCCAAATAGGAATTTTGTAATTTAATCTATGATAATATTTCTTCCATACTCGTAATAGAGCACTTCTTAAAATATGAGCTTTAAAAACTTGATCTACTTTTTATTATAAATTAAATAGGCATACCAACCATATAATAAATCCCATCCCTCAAGTAAAAGTATATTTTTATTAGTTAAGTTAAGCCAAACACTAATAAATGTTAAAGCCACCGCATCATAATATAATTTTAAATTCGGTGCCTTAAGTCCTCCTCTTTCCCATGCATCTTGTATAATTTTAAACTTGACTCTTGGTTTTTTACCAGCCCAGATAAATGTATTGATCCCCTTCTGCCAAACATCCAAGTTAGCATCTTTTTTCAAAATAGGTATCATTTGAAACAAGAAAATGAACTTTGGAAGAATATTCATTTTTACTGCTGAGATTCTCCCCAGCAGAGATAATTGTAACTTTTTCCAATCACTTAAATCCTTTTGTACCTTTACCCACAATGTCTTATAATTATTTTTATACAATTTAACATTAGACACTGTAATGTAAACTCCCAAATATTTTACCTTTTTTACTATTTCAAAACCTGTCAATTTAACTAAGTCATCTTTATCCTTCATAGACATGTTTTTCGATAGTATTTTAGTCTTTTTATTATTTACCTTAAAACCAGAAACTTTCCCATATTGAGCAATGATTTCTACCAAATCAGTCACCGAGTCTATTGGCTGAGTTAATGTCAGCACCAGATCATCAGCAAAAGCTCTTAACCTATAGTCATTTTTATTCACTTTTATTCCTTTTATTATAGGTGATTAACGAATTTTAATTAATAAAATCTCCATTGTTAACACAAATAACAATGGAGATAATGGACATCCTTGTCTTGTACCCTTTTCAATTTTAAATGCCTCTGTTAAACCTCCATTAACTATGATCTGTGCTGAGTGTTGTTGATAAATAGACTTAAGAGCAAACAAAAAATTTTCCCCAAAATTCATTTTCTCTACAACTCATAGTAGGAACCCCCAATCTAATTGATCAAATGCTTTTTCAGCATCTAAGAATATGAAAGCCGCAGCGATCTGGTTATTCTTATCCAAATACTCAATTAAATTGACAATTTGTCTTACATTATATTTCATATATCTTCCAGTTATAAATCCAGATTGATCACTATGAATCAATTGCCTCAACACTTGATTAATCTATTTGCCAATATTTTAGAAAATATTTTATAATCTGTATTCAATAAAGATATAGGTCTATAATTCTTAGGTTGAGTTAAGTCCTGACCCTCTTTTGGAATCAGTGATATAAAAGCAGTTCTCCAAGATGGGGGTACTTCTGCACCCTGCAAAATACTGTTAAACAATTCCTTTAATGGTTCTAACATTTCATCAGATAACATCTTGTAATAAATTGCTGTTAATCCATCTGTGCCTGGGGCTTTACCAACCTTTAGCTGCTTAATTGCCCCATTAATTTCATCAGAAGTTATTAAACAATTCATTTTTTCCCTCTGACAATTCGATAATCTAGGAAAATGTGAATGTTGTAGGTAATTCTCTATTTCTGAAGACCTTATATTTTCAGAAGCATATAATTTTGAATAAAAATCCAAAAAACTTCTTTTAATTAATTTTTGTTGATATGTCATTTTTCCTTTATAATCTATTTTTTCTATAATTCTTGATTTCTGCTTCTTTCGTAGTTGGTAAGCCAACCATCTACCAGGTTTATTTGCATTACAAAATGTATTATATTTCATATAACACAAATTAATTGCAGTCTGATCCACCATCAACATATTGAATTGCTCCCTGAGCAAAGATATAGAAACTTTTAAATTATTGTCCAGTGGATTCAAGATAAAGGCCTTTTCTTTTAATTTAATTTCCTCTTCTAACTGATTACGTTTTTGCATTTGTTTACGCCTATAAACATTATTCATATGAATCAGGGCACCTCTCATATATGCTTTACTTGCATCCCAAACCATTGAAATCGAGGTGTCTTTATACATATTCAATAAAAAAAATTCTTTCATTTGATCTTTACATTTTTGCACATTTCCCTCATATCTAAATAAATTTTCATTTAATCTCCAAGTCCTTTTGCTCCCATCTCCAACCCATAATTCCATCCATACCGGACTATGATCTGATAATGTTCTAGGAAAAATCTTAATATTCTTCACCCTAGAAAAGAAGTCATTTGTTATTTAAAAAAAATCAATTCTAGAATGAGATTGATATCTGTCCGAGAAAAAAGTAAAGTCTCTTTCTTCTATATTTCGTTCTCTCCAAATGTCTCTTAATTCCAGATCATCCTTCAAATCAAAAAAAGTTTTAGGCAATATAGAATAACTTGAAGCTTTAAAGGAACCTTTCTTATCTTTACTAGAGTCTAACACTCCATTCCAATCCTCCATCATAATAACTGATTTGTAATCCAGTTGATTTATTTTTTGATGTATCAACTTATAAAACTGTTTCTGTTGTTGATTTGGACCATATAATCCAATAATAAGACATCTTCTTTCATTCAAAACTAGTTCAATAAACACATATCTACCATCCGGATCAGAATCTATCAATTTAGGCATAAAATCTTGTCTCACATAAATAACTACCCCGCATTTTTTCTGCGGAGCAGATGCTATAAAATGTGTACCCAGCCGTAAATTAATCAAATACTTTTGATCCTTTGTAGAAATATGAGTTTCTTGCAAGCACACAACATCATTCTTGTGTTGTTTCAAATAATGAAAAATCTTCTTTCTTTTCTGTGGTGAATTCAAGCCATTAACATTCCATGTCAGAAACTTTGCCATTTTTAGTGGCAGAGAGCCTCTGGAACACTCCTTGAAGATCAGCTGTCACCGATCTCTTCGGTCTTGCACCTCCCACTGGCTCCGAATCTTGATAGACTATAGAAACAGTTTCAACTTTTTGCTGTTCTTTTTCCTTACGTCTGTGGGCTGCACGGGTCATTCTCTGTACCTTCGGATCATCTTTCATCTCAATAGACTGCTGCTTAAATTTCTCCTGTAAATCTGTTGCACCTGAAGATGTAGCTCCTTCAGCCACTTGTTCCTCAAGCATTCCTTCCTTTCTAGTAGCTCGTGGAGATGATGGTGAACCTGCTTTCAGAACTGAAGTATAAAAATCTCTTGCTTTTAAAATTGAGTTCAATCTATAATGTGTACCCATATAATTCACAAGTACACCAACAGGTATATCCCATCTGAATTGTATTTGTTGCTTTTTCAATTCTTCAACCAAAAAAGCAAAATCCTTCCTTCTCCTCAGTATTTTAGGTGGAATTTCCTTTAAAATTATAACATATTGTGCTGCAACTTGGAATCTCTGCTTGTAAAAGGCTTGGATGATTTCATTTCGAATTGATCTTCTAGAAAAATAAATTACAACATCTCTTGGTAGGTTTCTCTGTTTTGCTACCCATGAATTGACCCTAAAAATTTTCTCTATTTCTTTCATAATTTCTTCAGGATCGCAAGACAAAACCAAAGCCAAATCTACTGCAATCTCCTCCTTCAAATTTTCTTGAGCATTCTCCTTCAATCCCCTTATTCTCAAGGCATATTCCATATCTCTATATTGTGACATAATAACTTCATTCTGAGTTGAATCCACATTTTCCTCCACTTTTCCAAGTCTATAATCCAATCTCTCCACATTTTCTTCCACCTCCTCCACCCTTGCCTCTATACGTTCTGCATGAAATGCCAAACCCTGCACAGCCAGCAATATGTCCTCTCTCATCTCAGCATTTTTTCTTTCAAAAAGCTCCTCTGTCTCTATTTTAATCTGTTTTACTGCATTCGTTTTGGCATCCTGTAAATCTTTAAGTGTGATTGCAGAAGCTGTGGGAGAAGGTGGAGGGGTCTTAGGTCTCTGCTGTTGCGTTGTTTGAACAAATGGAGAGGAAATTGAGCCTTTCAAAGAAGCAGAAGTTCCTGCGCGTTTTGAAGCCATTTTTACTTTTTAATTCTTTTTCCCCTTTATCACATCTTATAAGTCTCTTTTAATTTCATAAAAGCAACAGTTATTATTTATATGGAGCAAAAATGGAAAAGGAATAGAAAGCTTGCTCTTAACTAAGATTGACAGAAAGACTGATACATTGTTTCATCCGTCTTTTCTTTGCCAAGTAAAAGCAAAAGTCTCGTAAGGATCAAACAGGGAAACACCCTTCCACAGCCATCTTTTCTAAATTCTTATAATTCAAATAACAATTGAAGAAGACACTTTTTTTCATCCAAGTTAAAGTCACAATTTATCCAATTTTCCAGTCCTCCTGGTCAGCTCCGTCTGCTTGTAAATTTACTTACAGTCTCTTAAATTGGCAGAAGTGGTAGCAGCATCTGGCTTTGTTCCTGAGAACAAAGGCATCCCGAGGTGCGGAGAAAGACCGGACTCCGAGGGAGTTCTCACCTTCGTCCTCCAAAAAGAGGACAAGGGAACTCAACCTCTATCCGGAAAAATCTCACCATCTCCCCTATGCCCAGGGAGATAGGCTTCGAGCCGCAGAACAGCTGTTGAGCGCTGTTCCTGCAGCTTTCACACAGCCCCGAGGCGGACGGCTTAAAAGAAAGCCACCATCGGCGCGGCGATGCCACCGGAAGTCCCCGAAATGTGTCAGACTTAACTCCTATCCAAATTGCTATGGTTAGTTGCTTCTTGAAAAGAGTGAAAAACATCTAACCCTAGAAGAGCTATGCTAGGACTATTTACTGTAGCTATTGACTGCATTAGGTATGAGTTGAGGATGAAGAAATATCATAAAGACATGATAGAAAAAAGTTGTTGAGATTTGTTCATGTTGTGGTTATGGTCAATATCAGACATGTCAAACTCTCAACGTCACGTGAAGTTTCACAACATATGGGAACTTTTTCCCCATTGCCGGCAATGGGGTAGGCGTGGTTTCCTTGTGACAGTTTGACATCCCTGGTCTATATGAACCAAAAACAAGGCAACTTTTCATTTAAAACTAAAATCTCCCATTTTAGGAAAATAAATAGACAATTTATATACTGCTATTATCATTTTTCCAAGCATACAACCTCCTTCCTATATTAAGGGTACAGTACGAAGGAGAAAGATGGTTTCTCTGACAGAGAAGAACTATCAGAAAAATAAGGTGTTAAGGTTACATCTTACCCATTTATTTTTAAGAAACATCTATTAGATTTTCTTCATGAGAAAACAGATACATCTCTCCTACTTTTTATTCTTCTGGGTCCAGAATGCAGACCATAAGTACCTTGCTTATGTAACAAAAACTGCATCACCTGGCACAAAGAAAGGTTATAGAAATCTTTACTGAGGCAACCCAAGGTTTGTAAAATTACAGAAAATCTTAGTTAAAAATCACACACTGAGAAAATTGTAAAGCAGCTCAAGAACAGGTGAGCATGCTCAATGGGTAGTGGATGTACTGTATGCATGGATGAGAGGAATAGAACAAGAAAGTGAGGAACAGTGATGGGGATGATACAAAATGAAGACACTGGGATTTTAAGCAGAATTCTTTGCAGATTCCAAGTTGGATAGATAATTGCAGATAAGTCATTGCTCCAGGAAATCTAAAGAAGTTTAGAGATCCAGTGCAGCCTATCATTTTCAAGAGAAGTTTTTGCCCTCTTTGCAAATTCAGTTACTTTTGTTCCATTTTGTGTTGTAGGATTGTTTCTATTGGGGTCACTGCTGGGCCAGTTTTTTGTGGAGTCGTTGGTCATCGTGTGAGGCATGAATATACAGGTGCAGTTGTAATGAGTCTAAATGTTATCAATCAAATAAAGTAGTGGAATAAATAGTAATAAAATGTTTCTTTTATTAGAAATAAATATATTATTGACCTATTTATTAAATAGATCAACCTATTTTCCAAAGCACCAGAAGGCAAGATAAGAAACAATGGATGGAAACTAATCAAGGAGAGAAGCAACTTGGAATTAAGGAGAAACTTCCTAACAGTGAGAACAATTAACTAGTGGAATGGCTTGCCTCCAGAAGTTGTGGCTGCTCCATCCCTGGAAGCTTTTAAGAAGAGTCTGGACAGCCACTTGTCTGGAATGGTATAGGGTCTCCTACTTCAGCAGGGAGTTGGACTAGAAGACCTCCAAGGTCCCCTCCAACTCTGTTATTCTGTTGTTTAAACATTTATACAGTGACCCATCTTATAACCAACTCCAGAAATAATTGTTGTTATTATAAAACACCTCAATGCAGCAGGGGTTATTTAGATCTCTGTGGATAGAAAATTCTATAATCAGGATGTTGTTGCTCAGAAGGTTAGTCTTGTCCCTATCAAAATTTGAAGAACCATTGAGGCTCAGAATGATGCCTTCCCACCTTACTGATAATGCTGGTTTTGGTTTTGGAAGAAAGATTCTGCCATTCAAATAGAATCAGGTGTCAGACAGCATTTTTGGATTCTTTTGCTTTTGTTTATTCATTGGGTCCTGCAAAGACTTCTCCCTATAAAGACTCTTTTGCTGTGCCATGTTGGGAATTTATTACCCTACTGCAGTGATGGCGAACCTTTCAGAGACCGAGTGCCCAAATTGCAACCCAAACCCCACTTATTTATCTTCGGGTGCTGGGTGGCTGAGGCCCAGTGGGGGGTATGACCACTGGATGGGCATGACTGCAGTGGTCATGGCAGACTGGGTGGATGTGGCCAGGGTGGGCGTGGCCACCTCTATATTGCTCATGGGGAGGGACGCCTGTGGGGGCTGGGCAGGGTTGGGGGAGATCCAGATGGTCTCTGGTGGGTGGGATGATGGGCAGGAGGCTTGTCCTGTGGGGTGAGGCGAGACCAGACAGGGAGCAGGGCAGGGATGCCATTGCCACAGGGCAAGGCAAGGCAAGACAGGGACTGGGGCGGCTGCTGCCTGACACCATCGGCCCCTGCACACAGCGAGCGCATGGGGGCCAACTGTGTTCATCAGCAGCCACAGCCTGTGAGCCCCTCGACCAGTGCACTCTGAGACTCTGCAGCCCGCTGAGAATACTGGGCCAGCCCTCCAGCAGCAGGCGGAGTAGGGGAGGGGGGATCCAGCATACCGGTTTCTTACCTCCGCCCGGCTTGTTCTGCAGCCGCATGGCAGTGGCATTGCACAGGAGATGGCAAACAACCTGTTTTGGTGCAATGTGGTTGTTTGCTGCCAGCCGCAGCCATTTGCCGCCTTGCATGTTGCACCCAATGCCGCTGCCATGAGGCTCCAGAACAAACCAGGCAGAGATAAGAAACCGGTATATTGGTTTCTTACCATGGCCCAGCTTGTTCTGCAGCCTCATGGCAGTGGCATTGTGCAGGAGGCGGCAAACGGATGGTTTTGGCATGACACAGCTGTTTGCCGCCTCGCGTATTGCGCCCAATGCCGCTGCAATGTGGCTCAGCCAAAAGCGGCTGTGGAACAAGTTGGGCAGGTTCCCCCCTCACCTGCCCATTCAGCTACAGCTTTGGTGGCTCTGTAAGCAGAGCTGCGAAATTCTCTTCTCTGACAGAGAAGAGAACTTCGCAGCTCTGCTTACAGAGCCACCAAAGCAGCAGGTGGATCGCCGGAGGCTCAGGGAGGGAGGGTGCAGAAGTGGGCGGTTGGGCCATTGGCAAAAGCAATGCGGTTGAGCAGAAAGCGGCCTCAGAACAAGTGGTGCAGGTAAGGAAAGAAATTCTTGCTCCCCCCAGAAATTGCCTTTCTTTCCTTACTTGACTCCTTCGCGATCCACTGCCGCCACTTTCAAGGACAAAGGAAGTATTTCTTGGGGGGGGGGGAGGTTAAGCAATCAATTCCAACTTCTTATGAAAGATCGCGAAGTTGGAATTGATTGATTGACCTTTTTTCCCCAAAAAAACTTCCTTTGTTTCCTTGCACGCTTTAGCACCCTCTCTTCCCAAGCCTCTGGTGCTCCACTTGCTGCTTTGGTTGGCCTGCCAACCCCCACCTCAATGCCCTGCCCACCGCCACCTAGTACAGCTGCCCCGGGGCTGCAGGGGCTGGCCTGGCATGGAAAGAGCATGCGCCCCACCCTTCTGACACCATGCAGGGTAAGATTGCCATATGCCCCACCCTGCCGAGATGCCCTCGCCTCCCCCAAGCGTTTTTTTTTACTAACCTGCCTTTCTCCATTTTTTTTGCTAACCTTCTGTTTCTCCGTTCGCTTCTCAGCCTTCGACGTGTGTTTGTGGAACTATCGGTAAAAAAAAGAGTTCCATCAGACTTTCTAACTTCTCACAAGATCTCATGAGAAGTTAGAAAGTCTGATGAAACTTTTTTTTAACCGATAGTCCCACAAATACGCAGCGAAGGCTGAGAAGCCAACGGAGAAATGCAATGCAGCTGAAAGGCAGGTTAGTAAAAAACACTTGGGGGAGGTGAGGACATCTGGGCAGGGGCAGGCCCGACAACCTTACCCTGCACGGCTTCGGCAGGTGTCTGGCAGGGGGAGGGAAGCAACTGGTCTACCACCATGTTAGCGCTGCTGCGTTGCTTCTCTGCCCCATGCACAGGCCCTGCCCCACCCCTCTCATGGAGCGCCCTGGCCCACCGCTCCCCCCATCCCTAGGTGGAACCTTCTTTCCAGCTCTGACATGTCACTTTCTCCGCTGCTGTGTGGGACTAAAAATAAAGTTCAATCAATCAATTTCAACTCTGCGAAATCTTTTTTTTCCCCGCGAGAACTTGAAATTGATTGATTGAACTTTTTTTTTGCATACAGTGGCGGAGGCCTAAAGCAAAAAGATTTTATAAAACACAGCTGAAAAAGCCACTTGCCCAGGGAGATTTTGATGCAGGTTGCTCATGGCTGGGACGTAAGGCCTTGGACTGGGGCAATGACGTGCATGCCCACAGAGAGGGCTCTGCTTGCCACCTGTGACACATGTGCCATAGGTTCGCCATCATGGCCCTAGTGATATCTTATGAAAGCTAAATCAATCTACAGGTTTTCTTTTTTAATACCAAGTTTGGGAGACTTTTGGGGAGGAACCAGCTGGGCGGAGGTAAGGAACCGGTATACTGGTTTCTTACTGCCGCCTGGCTTGTTCAGCGGCTTCATGGCAGCGGCATTGGGCAGGAGACGGCAAACAGCCAGTTTTGGTGAAACATGGCTGTTTGCCTCTGGCCACAGCCATTTGCCACCTTGCGCATCGCACCCAATGCCGCTGCTATGAGGCCACGAAACAAGCCAGGCGGAGGTAAGGAATCAGTATACTGGTTTCTTACCAATGCCCGGCTTGTTCCGCAGCCTCATGGCAGTAGCATTGGGCAGGAGGTGGCAAACTGCCAGTTTTGGCATGACGTAGCTATTTGCCGCCTTGCGTATTGCATCCAATGCTGCTGCAATGCGGCTTGGCAGAAAGCGGCCGTGGAACAAGTGGGGCAGGTTTCCCCTTCACCTGCCCATTCAGCTACAGCTTTGGTGGCTCTGTAGGCAGAGAAGAGAACTTCACAGCTCTGCCTACAGAGCCACCAATGCAGCAGGTGGAGCGCCGGAGGCTCGGGGAGGGAGGGTGCTGATGTGGGCGATCGGGCCATTTGCAAGAGCAATGTGTCTGAGCGGAAAGCGGCCTCAGAACAAGTGGGGCAGGTAAGGAAATAAATCCTCGCTCCCCCCAGAAATTATCTTTCTTTCCTTACCTGACTTCCAGCCCTGTGCCGTTGCTCCTTCGCAATCTGCCGCCAACACCGCATGTAAGGAAAGAAAGGAAGTGGGTTTTTTGGGAAAAAAGGTCACTCAATCAATTCCAAATTTGTGGTCTTTCATGAGAAGTTGGAATTGATTGATTGACCTTTTTTTCTCCCAAAACCCCTTCCTTTATTTATTTGCATGCCGCGGCGGCAGCAGATTGCGAAGGAGAAACGGCACAGGGCTGGAAGTCAGGTAAGGAAAGAAAGGCAATTTCTGGTGGGAGCGAGGATTTCTTTCCTTACCTGCCCCACTTGTTCCGAGGCTGCTTTCCATTCAGACACGTTGCTCTTGCTAATGACCTGACTACCCACTTCAGTGCTCTCCCTCCATGAATCTCTGGTGCTCCACCTGCTGCTTTGGTCAGCCTGCTGGCCCCCACCTCAACACCCTGCCCACCGCTGCCCAGCATGGCTGCCCTGGGGCTTCAGGGGCTGGTCTGGCATAAGAAGGGCATGAACACCAGCCTCCTACCACCATGCAGGGTAAGATTGCCATGCCCACCCTCGCCCAGATGCCCTCGCCTTCCCCAAGCGTTTTTTACTAACCTGCCCTTCAGCTGCATTCTGTTTCTCCATTCGCTTCTCAGCCTTCGTTTTGTGGGACGATGGGTAAAAAAAAAAAGTTCCATCAGACTTTCTAACTTCTTGAGATCTCGCAAGAAGTTAGAAAGTCTGATGGAACTTTTTTTTTTTTAACTGATAGTCCCACAAACACACGGCGAAGGCTGAAAAGCGAACGGAGAAACGGAATGCAGCTGAAAGACAGGTTAGTAAAAAAAAAATGCTTGGGGAGGCAGGGGCGGGCACAGCAACCTTACCCTGCACGGGTATTGATGCAGGTTGCTCATGGATTGGACTGAAGGCCAAGGACTGGGGCGATGGCATGTGTGCCCACAGAGAGGGTTCTGCGTGCCACCTGTGGCATGCATGCCATAGGTTTGCCACCACGGTTTTAGGTGATTCAGTCCTAGACCTCATCTTGTTTGCAATATTGGTTGAGGAGAAATGTACATATAATTTCTAGCTTCTCTCTTTTTCTTTCCATGTTAGTGATTGGACGGAAAGTTAACCTTGCTGCAAGGATGATGATGTTTTATCCAGGATTAGTAAGCTGTGATGCCCTCACTTATTCCAAATCTAAACTGCCCCACTACTTCTTTGAAGAGCTCCCATTAGTTGAGATGAAAGGTGTTGTGAACCCTGGGACAGTCTATCAATTTCTTGGTATTACAGAGAAAGCGTAAGTACAATTTTGTCTTGTGGATAGCTGCACAAGAAAAAGAGTTTTATCTGCAGAATAGATTCAGGAAACATCCCTTTTCAGCAAAGTAGGCTGTTTGTTTTGCAAAGACCTCTACTGCTGGAGGATGATTTCTCACATCCTCTTGTTATGTCTACATGAAGAATATTTATCCTTTTTTATGGATAAAGTATCCTTTTTTATGGACTACAGTAACTTGTAGTCCCAGCAGTTCTGGGAAAACAGTTGTGTTTTCACTGTTTCTTCTCTCAGGCACAACAAAACTTTGCTCATGTCCAGTTGGACAATTGGATATACTGTATGTTAAACAAAAAAATAGTTTAGAATGATATTACACATTAAGAGGCAAATAATACATATATTTTCAGCTGTAAGTATGTAGATCATTGGAGATGGCAAGGACCGTGTGATAGGATGCTTCCTTAGAAAAGGGTGTGGTTCATCTTGAAAAAGATGATGGTGTGTCCCTTCCTCAAGAAGCCATTGCTCAACCTGGCAGTTTTAAATAATTACTAGGCTGTTTCCAGCCTTCCCGTTTCAGAGACAGGACTATTAAGAGTATTAAGAGGGTTGCACTTGCAGAGAATTCAGGACAAAATAGATTTTCTGTACTTTTTCAGCCTGAGTTCAGGCCCAGGTACGAACAAAACACGCGTGGAACATTCCTATGGCAGGAATGGAATAGGAAAAATGATTAATTGCTCAATTGTTATTGGTATTGATCATCGTATCCTTCTGGACCATCTGCAAAGACTGAGAGTGGAGGGCAGAATTCTGCAGGGGTTTTCCTTCCTTAAATGGGTGGTTCTAGTTAATGGTACTAGGGGATAAGAGATCAAGATCTAGGAATCTCCATTGTGAGCACCACAGGGATTAACACTTCTCTATTCCTGATTTAATTATTACAAGAAGCTGGGGAAGATCAAGTATTGGCATAGAATCAGATATCATCGGTAGGAAGATGATAACTATATTTAAATCTGGGCTCCTGGGTGTGACAGGTGTTCTCTCAGTGCCTGGAAGCTGTCAGAATCTGGATGGAGAAGAATAGTCTTAAATTTAATCCCAGGGAGATGGAATGGCTTTGATTCCAAAGATATTTCATCCTTGGTTCTGAACAGGGCTGATTGATAATTTGGGTGCCCATTTGACTCATGGCTCCTGCTTGAAAAGCAGGTGTGGCTGTAATTACAAGGACTTCTGAACAGATCCATCTTATGCAGCAATTATAATGTTTCCTGGATTTGGAATGTTTGCTCATAGTCATTTCTGTGTTAAACACTCCTTGTTGAGGCTGCCCAATTTTGAAGTTGCAACTGGTCTGTAATATAGTAATTCTTGAACATTAAATTATTTAAGCAAAGGAGGCACTCTCCCTAAAAGACAAATTATTTTCTTAGAAGTAATATACTATTAATAATTCTTCCAAGGCAATTTGAGAAATGTTAGCATAAATTTCATTTTCTTCTCTCTCTCCCCTTCTCCCCATGCTCATTTTTAAAACTAGAATGATTTACAAAGCATATTTAACCAAGGAGAGATCTGAACTTTATCCTTTACTAGGTACGTGAACTGATTTATAGTATCATAACAATTAATTATTGGGATGCTGGAATAAACTTGCTATTGGTTTATGAGATGTCTGTTTGTCTAACCCAGGGGTAGGCAACCTTGGCTCTTTTATGACTCGTGGACTTCAACTCCCAGAATTCCTGAGCCAGCATAGCTGACTCAGGAATTCTGGGAGTTGAAGTCCACGAGTCATAAAAGAGCCGAGGTTGCCTACCCCTGGTCTAACCTTTCTATTCAATTTAATCTGCATAGATCTGTATAGCACTGAATGTTTGTGCTGAAGATTCAGTGGTATTTCTATGCATATCTTCAGATACTGATTACTGTATAATTCTATAGATGTCTACTTAGAAATCAGAGCTGTTGCATTCACAGATAGTGGGCAAAACTGACATTTTAAGAAGTATTGCCAAGAAATTCACAGCTTGCCTTCAGAAGTTGTGGATCACTGGAGGTTTTTAAGAAGAGACTGGAATCTGAAATGGTAGGGTCTCCTGCTTGAGCAGGGGGTTAGACTAGAAGATCTCCAAGGTCCCTTCCAGCTCTATTCTGCTTGATTGATTGCAGCCAAAGCACCTATTACTATTGGTACTCCCTTTGCTTTCTTTTTGCCACAGTTGTTCTATTTGCAGGTCTTTGTATTTTGTTATCTTCTCCAGTTCTTTCTCTTCTATTCTGCTATCTCCAGGTAATTCTAGGTCCACTATCCAGACTTTTTGTTGTCTCTCTTATCGACAGTTATCTGGGGTGTTATGCAGCAGGTGCCTGTCTGTTTGAATTTTAAAGTCCCAGAACAATTTAGCTACTTCATTTTTTATTATTTTATTTATTTTATGGTATTATTTATTATTTTATGTATTATTTATTATTTTATTTATTTGATTAATATAAATTATTGTTTATAGTCTTTTTCTTCTTATTTATATATACAACAATGTGAAATCACAGATGTCAGTTCTTTTAGCTGGTGTTGGCCTTGATATGCATCAAGTTCTTCCCAATAACCTAAGATGTTGAAATTTATTATACTATATTTCTCTGAAAGTAAGACCTACCCCTAGCTTGATTTCAGGGGGTGGGCCTAATATAAGCCCTAGTTTTGGGGTGAGGTGCACACCTAAAAATCAAGCTAAGGTGGGAGGGGGTGGAGCTGCCCCACGTGCCCTGCACCCACTTACTGTTTCAGCCAGGCTTCCCATGAATTGACATCTGCCTTGCCTCGCTGGCCCATTTCTTCTGTGGTGCCCCCCGGCCTGCATTTCGCCATCAGAGGCCTTCTGGAAAGGTCTCTGATGGCAAAATGCAGGCTGGGGACGCCCTGCATGTCAATGCGGGATAGACACCCCCAAAAGATAAGATGTGGTACCTCTTTTGGAGGCAAAAAAAAAAGACAGAGTCTTATTTTCGGGGATACATGGTAGAAGCATATGTGTGGATCCAAGCAGCGTGGCCTATTTTAATTGACAGATGGAAATGTTGTCAATGTGCAAATTTCCTAAGTGCTGTTGAAGATTTTTTTTGGTATGGCATTTGTGTGTTAATAACCACTGGGACCATCACCACCACTAGAACATCAAGATCACAAGAAGTGATACTACCACTTTATACTGCATTAGTGAGGCCACACTTGGAATACTGCTGTTCTGTCCCCGTCCGACCCACACACCCAAACAGCCAGCCGAGGGTTAAAGACTTCTCCAGACACCACTTCACCGATAAGAAACTTGGCAGCAGCTCTGTAGCTGCCTGCCAAGACCTTTTACTCCAAGCACACAGAAACAAAAAACAATACACACAATTTAAAGTCACAGCAAACTACTTCGCCAGAGATTCAGCTTTTGTCCGTCACAGAGGTCCAAATGGCCACCACCTCCCTTTTATAGCCTGTGGGGTGTGGTCCAGTGACTCAGCTTAATCTCTGGCACGTCTCCTTTTCTGCTGCGCATGCTTGTCGCTCCTACACTGGCGTGGATCCAGCCACAACTTCTCTTCCTCACTATCCGAAACACCTGGCTCCTGGCCAATCTCAGAAACTCCTGGCTCCTGGCCAATCTCAGAACCACCTGGCTCCTGGTCAATCTCTTCTCCGTCGGGAGACACCTGAGGCCTTGCCAAAGAGGAGGGTCCTGGAGAGGGAGGCCTGGCCATCTCCTCTCCTTCATGTTCGGAGCCTTCTTCCTCCGATAAGAGGGGCTCACAAGATGGAGCCACAACAACTGCATCCAGTTCTGGTTACCACAACACAAAAAAAGATGTCGAGACTGTTAAGTCCGGAGATAAATGGCGAAGGAGGCAAGTCATGTTACTGAACAGATCTTTATTCTCACTCTGTTACAACTACCAACCAACAAGAGCAGAGGCACACAGGCCTCTTTTATACTCCCAGATCCCTGGGCAATCACAACCAATAGCAGGCAGTCTTTTCCCGCCTCGTGCATGCGCGCGAGGCCGGCGCCACTCAGTCTGGTCCCGGGCAGCTTTTGCAATGCCTGGGACTCTTGCATCGTCCCGAGCCTGCTTCTGCAGGCTCAGGACACAACACCCCTCCCCCCTAGATAAAACAATGCTGCGCCCAACATGTACACCACCTCTGGTAGTGTATGTGTTTGCTAACTTTTGCATCAAATGCACAGAGTGTGGAAAGTATTGGTAGTGCTATCGTTCTGAGAATAATTGAGCCCAGACTCCTTTTTCTTTTCCGTATGAGCTAACCAACCTGGACCTCTTGTCCAGGTTCCTCTAACCTTGCTCACCTCATGTAATCTGCAAGGTATTTGGGCGGACCTTTGACCCGTAGCGACCTTCTCGGACCTGGGGAGATTGAATGGTCCCCACCATTGTTTTCCACACTAGGTGACTGCTGCCTGACCTCCCTGCTTGTCTCCTAGGCTCAGGAGGCCAGGACTCTGCTGTTCTCCGTACCTGGTCGACCTGCCTCTTAGGAAGCTTTCTGAGCCCTCTGAACTCATCTCCCTGTTCCCTGAAGGGGTGTGAGTTTCCTAGCTCCTTTCTGTAGTGATAGGGTCCAAAGATACCTCCCTGTTAGCCCTAATGCGTGGGGACTTCCTTCTGTGAGCCATTGCGGAAAAGGGCAAGTCCCCAAACTGTTGTGCCTGCTCTCTTGTATGCTGTGAGTTATGAGTATGCTCCCAGTCAGTCTCCTTGTCTGGAGTATTGTTGTTGAGTTGTGGATAGTGAGGATACCTCCGGTGTGACTCCCAGGCTGGAGTGAGTGTGGGGTTGTATGTTTGCCCCCTGCCCCATGAATTCCTATTTGGAGCACTTGCGGCACTTGGGGTTTGAGTACCCATTGTTCTGGTTCTCAGGTCTGGCGCTGGCCAGACTCACCTGGCACACTAGGTAGCAAGTCCCCCACCTCCTCCTTCTCTGCCCCAATCCCCCATCCTCTCCTGGATATGTAGTGAAACTTGCTTGTGCGGCTGCCATCCTGATTTTTCTGATACCCCAGCACTTCCTGGATGAGTCCCTGATGCCATTAATGGTCATTAAAGAATGCAAGTTTTCAAATGCAGAATTTTGATTTCATTTTTTATTCATATTTTATTGATTTCATTTATACTAGAACGTCTTGTATTTATGGCTCATTTTTGGAAGCTGTGGGGCCTGGGTGTGTCCTGTGGGAGTAGGGGAAGGCAGGGCAATGAAAATGAGCCTCCTTCCATGCGAGTCCATTTACCTCGAAGTGTAGCTAAAAGGACAGACGACAGACTTGACTGTTCTCTCATCTAAGTCATTGATGAAGATATTGAAGAGTCCTGGGCCTAAGACGGAATCTTGTGGTACCCCACTCATTACTTTTCTTCATATGGATGTAGTGCCATTGAAAACAACTCCTTGAGTATGGTTTGTTAGCCATTTGCAGAGAGAGACAGAGACAGAAAAAGGCACTTGCGCTTCCCTTTTCTCTCTCTCTCTCTCTCTCTCTCTCTCTCTCTCTCTCTCTCTCTCTCTCCCCATGTGTGTGTGTGTGTGTGTGTGTGTGTGTTTGTGTTTTCCGATGAGCTGACAAGCTTATTGGATGGGGCTCCTGCCTTGGCTGCATCTCTGCAGGAAGCAGGAAGCAGGAAGGGCAGGAGACAGTCAGCCTGTTGGAGGAACCCGGCTTTTCCCATTGACTTAGTTTGTTAGAATCCGGTTGGGAAAGTCGCAAATTGAGATCACATGACCAAAAGACTGCAACCGTCACAAATACAAGCTGGCTGCCAAATGCCCACATTTTGATCATGTGACTGGGAATGTTGTAATGGTTGTAACTGCGTGGACTGGTCATAAATCCCTTTTTTCAGTGCCACTAGCATTTTCAACATTTTAGCTGACAGAGGTCTTGTTTTACATTGTTGACTCCCTGCAGCTACATCAGCACTTCTGTCCTTCCTCCGTGGTGTCACTGCAGAATAGCTGAGCTTTCTGTGCTGCGTCCCAGAGCAAACCTGGAGCCACATTCCCTGCTCTTCCTTTTGGATGTGGGACTCCGTTTGCTCTTGCTGGTGGGTTTTAATTCCCGGGAGCCATTTGCCACATAGCCGCCGTCTGTTTGGGTTGCAAGAAAGACCATCCTTCGGAAGAATTTCCCCGGAAAGGTACAGGGTCCTCAGCCAGAATAGGGTGGGTTTCTGCACGTCTCGTGTGTTTTGACAACCGGGGCCCACCGACCATTGAAGAAAAAGCTGTGCATTGATGTCAAATTGCAGGGGGTTCCCTTAGTAATGGAGCTGGACATGGGTTCAGCTCTGTCAATCATATCCCAGGACACCCTTAAGCAAATCTGCTGTAAAAGCAGCCAGCGGGTTAAACTCAGGCCATCGAATCTGATCTTAACAGATTTTCAGAATTCCCGAGTCAGGGTAAAAGGGGAGGCCATGCTCAGAGTGCAGCGTAGGAAACTCGAAGGGTTCCTGGACGTTGTCGTGGTTGAAGGTGACCGCACGAGTCTAATTGGACTCGATTGGTTCGAGGCACTTGGGATTCAA